GGACACACCGCTGGTACCGGAAGTCGCCATAGCTGGTCCTCTCAAAGTCCACGGGGAAGTGTCGGCCGACAAAGCGGGAGTTGGTGACTGGTGGAGTATCATGCTGAGGGTGGTACTTGGGCAAGGGCTCGTGGAACAACAGCTCACGGACAAGACTCAAGCGGTAGTTGAGGAAGGAGAGGTGGTGACCAACGGTCAGGTACACGGCGTAGCTGTTCACCAGCGTCAAGTCGAGCAGGTAGAAGAAGAGCTTCTTGTACCACTTGAGGGACTTACGAGTTGCTCGATGATTTGCCGCTAATTGGTCGCTCTTGTCAATGCCCCCCATCAGGGCGTTGTACTCAATGACACAGGTCGGTTTCTGCTTTTCCTGCCCTGTCCTGTCTTGCTTGCCGGTGCCACGGATGTCTGCCGTATGCATGGTGGAGAGTATACAGATGTTGCGCTTGTCTTGCCACACCATGGCCAGGAGAGAACCGCTGACACCCAGGTCGGCTGACCGGAACGCTGTTTCGCCCCGCTTCAGCTTGACGGACTGCAGGTCTTTCGGCATCCCTTTTCTGTTTGCCATGACGGTGCCGACGACGTTGAACTTCTGGTTGTGAAGTCGTCGAAACAAATCGGGACTGCTGAAGGCCCGGTCGAGGGCAAGGTTGTAGCTCTTACCACTTAGGTTGTTCACCAGGTCCATCACCACTTGTGTAGTTGCTGGGAGGTCTCCTTTACTTTGGCTGGTGTAGATTTTGAAGTTGTAGCAGTACCTGGCGGTACTCCCCGTGCTCTGGCACAACTTGTACATCTTGATACCGAAGCGGGCCCTCTTTCTGGGGTTGTAGGTAGCGAAGCGAAGACGCCTGTAAAACTTCAGCAGGGAGTCGTTGACGGAAATGTCCCGTTGAGGAACGTAGACAGTGGCAAACTTCTGAGCAAGATGGTCGACGACTGGGCGCAATTTGAAGAGACGGTCGGTGCAGTCATCTGGCATGGCAGTGTTATCGTTGAAGTGCAGGGACTGCAGGATGGCAAGGAGGCGATCTCAGGGCATGACGGACAGGAATAGGCTCATCTTCAGTAGTGGGTTTGTGGACCAGAAGCTATGAAGGGTGGGGTGCTTTGCGATTCCCGTCATTATGCAAAGGCCCAGAAAGGCCTTCAGTTCTCTAGTGTTCAGATAAGTCCATGATTGCATGTGCGCCGATGTCGTAGCGGGCCTCTGCACGGCATACCGGTTGGTCTCTTGCACTATCTTGTTGTAGAGAATGTCATCAAAAAACAGTTCAAAGGCTTCACTGCAGGTCGACCTGCGATGCAGGCAGGGATCAACGGCACCACCATTACCGGTGAAGCCGTACTTCAGCGGTGTACTGTCTTCATTGATAATCCCCTGCGAGCGCCCGGCAGTGCAAACAAATGCGCTCTGCACAAACAATACACGGATTACCTCCGCTAATTGCAGTGCTCTGCGCTGAAAGAATACAGGGATTGATTGGTAGTGCCCGGCAGCTCTCAGCTCCTGGCTTTTAGAAGTTCAGTCACCCCGGCTATAAAATAAAGTCACAATTCACTGGCCCCAGCAACCCATTATTGCCTTGGACCAATTTATTTACAGCCAATGATGGCCAAAACTTTTTAACTGACAGCCCCAAACTTTTTAAGAAACGCCCAGCAACTTTTTTTTTTTATAGTAAAGTTCCGATTTCAGAGTCCCCGGCCACGAATATAAGGCCTATGGCTCCGGTACCGGAGCCCCCGGCTGGAAGTGGTTAAAAACTTCTCTTTACCATTTAAAGACCTTATCTTGGATTTGTCAATTGACTAAAATTATTTGATAGTGAACAGCTGTTCTGAAGCTAGGCACGCATAGCTGTGTGTTAAGGAAGCACGGCGCATAGGCTCCGCCTTGTGCATTGTGCGATAGGGCAGCGGAAGTCACTGCTTGGTCACGTGAGCGCGTGCGCGGGCGTGGTCAGAGCAGCGCGAAAGCTATAAAAGGCGCGCGCAAGCAAGGCTTAGTCATCCTGATCAAGGGCTGATCCTGAGGTAAGGGTCGCGAATCCTGTGCAAGGGTTAAAGTCACCTAGCTTAGTGTGACTGTGCCTAAGTACAAGTGGTGCGTGTGCTGTTGAGGGGCTCGGTAGGTTGAGGGGCTGATTGGTGGTGCGGTATAGTTCCTGATAGGAGCTTGCGGTCGATGCAAGGGCGGATTGCTATCTCGTGACTTGAGTTGCGTGTAGTGCAGCCCTGACAATAAGCCCTGTAGACTTGCTAAAGTCCCTGAGTCGGCACTGGATGCCCACAATTAATTGTGGTGTTCGCTGCTCTGGGCGAAGTCCGGTCAGGTACATGTATAATCACACAGTCTCCCCGTCAATAGCACCCTCTACTGGTGTATTGGTTGAGTGTGTTGATGAATAAACCAGCCGCTTGTTAATTGTTGTATATAAGTCAGGAGTCCAGGCGAAGTTTATTTCAAGTCAGATCTGTCCGGGTCACGTCATTAAGTTTCGACCAATCAGATTAGCCATCATCTCGACGAAGACCAACTTTCTTGGGGGACCGTATACTTTGGTCCCAACGGACTCATCCTTAGCCGCTCAGGGACTCTCCGGCGTGCCGTCCGACGCACCGCGCCTCGAGGAGGAGGGTGCCCCTGCCTTCGTCAGAGGGGCGCGGCGCCACACAAGGAAAGGAAGTGTTCTTGATGAAAATGTACCTGATGTGATGATGACATCAGATGAGGAGTCGAATTACATTTTATTTAAAGTACGTTATTTCCTGAAGTACATGAAAGTGATGAAACCTTACATCCAAATGGTCATAATGACAGATTTACTCCATTAGGTTTGTGCAGTGGATTGGTTGTTCAACTTAAGAAAGGGATGCGAAAAAGCCCTATGTTCTGTTGGCAAACAGACAGATGACCTCCCGTCTTCTTCTACCTCTGCTCAAAAGCCTTTAGTATTGTACACATTTTTTGTCGCTGTGACTTTAGTGCTCTTGCAACTTTGGATCTTCATCAAAGTTATACCAATGAAGAACCCTTATGCATAGATGGTCCTAGAAACATGACCTCATGATGACCTTATCAAGTGATTTAGTATTGATTTTTACATATATAGTTTAGCCCAATTGACTTTGTACACGTTTTCAAGGCACAATTTGGGTTACTTTGCGATCCTCAATTGTCATCAAAGTTACAGCCGGCGAAGAACATGATGCAAAATAATTGCCTAGTTCATGACATCATGAACTAGGCATGATGTCATCACCTTATTTTATATTGATTTTTTAATGTTTAATATTTCCCCACAGGTTTTGTACATGTTTAATATTCAGCAGCCAGAATTTGATACTCTTATAGGTCTGACTGGTTATATATTACGTGCTTGTTTTTAGACCATGTGCTAGAGAAGGTCCAAGAAGAAAATCGTGATGTGATGATGTGATGTGATGATGAAATCATCAGCAGACAAGTCACTTGACATCAAAGGTGCACTGTTCAAAGTACTGTATCTCGTGAAGTACATGTGCAATTGGGTTCAAGCATTGCAGATATTTTAAAAAGGAAGTGCTTTACAGGCTATTGACCTTATGTAATGATGACATTATCAAAAGACACGTCACATGACATTAAAGGTACACACTTTAAAGCCCTATATCTCCTGAAAATGACTTGATGTGATGATGCCATAGTTGTTCAAAGGTACAAAAGAATGCAAAAAAGCCCTCTGTTCTGTTGGAAAACAGGCAGATAAGCT